CATTTTCCTTTATACTTCATTTCCTTTTTCCCTATATTACATTATTACCTAAACTCAAAACGTTATATAGGAGAATTTGTTATTTCTCTTTATTCTTTATTATCACATCATGGATCACATCTTCTCTTTATCTTTCTATTTCTCTTTATCACCTGAACCGAAGAAGTTGTGCCGAAAAATCATTTTCATAAAAGAAAATATCCAAATTAAACTTTATTCTTTTAGCTAGCTGTGAGTAAATGGTGTAAGAGTTTTTTATACTATCAATAAAGGATAATAAATAATGTACTGACTTACCAATACTAACATTTAGATAAATATTATGACGTACTCATGTATTATTTTTACGAGTCTGACTCTTCTCCAGTATATTCCTAGATTGCAACACGTTGCAAGGAAAAAAAATCAACGGTTATGATTTTAGAGGGAAAATGAATAAAAAATTTAATTAAAAAATCTATAAATCCCTAAATTTATTTCTCATTATCACACATCTCTTCTCCTCTTTTCAATGTAAAACCTCTCTTCTCCATTGAAAATATTTTCTCATTTCTGTTCTTCTCTACAAAAACACATTCCAAAACGATAATTTCTTAAATTTAACCGTTGATTTTTTTAAATTTCTTCTACACTGTTAACTGAATCTAACAGTGGGATAAGAGAGGTTTTACATTGGTGATAATTGGAATTAGAGTGTGAAGAGAAATGAGGAAGAGATTTAGGGATTTAGAGATTTGTTATGTTTTTTAATTTAAAAATTTATTCATTTTTCCTATAAAATCATAACGGTTGATGTTTTTCCTTACCACGTGTCGTAATCTGGGAATGTATTGACCTTTAATGGATTTTCACAGTATAAATTGCTAAAGTTATTCTCCAAAATTGATTTGTTTTTGTTTTGTATATTACGGCAATAGTTAATCCAACACTTTCCATAATATTTATAGTTGAATGTCTCTAGTTTTCATTTCATCAGAAATTCTCCCTTTCTTAGTTCGTTTGGATATCATGTGTTAACATCTTATTCCTCCCACTTACTCAAGTTTGTTTCAGTCAACTTTCCTATTTCCTCTTAAATATTGTTTTTCAACAGAAACACCACAATTGTTTTTTCTGTTCAAACACAGGGAAAAAATCTTCATTTTCTCGTACCGTGTCTGGTTTTCTTTTCTTTAAATTTTCGATTGTTTCAGGTCGGTTAGATAAACCGTAAACGTAATATCAAGGTTTAAGGTTGTAGCTTATAGCGTCAACGTGTTATACTTTGAAGTGCTTTTATCTTAAATGTTGAACAAAGCAGGGTAGGCTTGAGTTTTCTTTAAGACTTGTTTGGCTTGAATTGTAAAAGAGAGAAACTTGTTATTGTGTTTACGTGTAATGTGTTGAATTTACAACATTGTTTGTGAAGTCACTGTCCGTGAATTCACATATATACAGAAAGAATTCCTTGTCTTAAAGGTCAAAATTTACAAGTCTTTGTTTTCTGGAGGCTCATTTGCATTTCAATTCTCTTTCAAATAACACAATTTTTACTTTTTCTTTGTTCTCTTTTATTCTGAAGCCAAGCCATGATTTTTAATAAAGGGTCAATGCAATCTAAGTCTAATAACCTTGACTGTCTCCTACGTTCTACCACCCCTGTGGTACAATCCCAGTTTCTACCGAAGGTGTTTTTTTATTTCATTGTGTGTATATTTATTTCTCATATATATGATTATAGAATGACTGGTTTTGATTATCTGTTTTTTTTTTGGCAGCATGAGATTAGAAACCTGAATCGTTTATGGCATCCTTGGGAGAGAGAAAAAGTTGAGTATTTCACGTTGAGTGATCTTTGGAATTGGTTTGATGAGTTGAGTGCTTATGGTGCTGGAGTTCCAATCACTTTGACAAATGAAGAAATGGTTGTGCAATACTATGTACCTTACCTCTCTGCAATTCAAATATTCACCAGCAATACCAGTTTCAGGTAAATATATATTCATATGAAGATCATCAATGTGAGGTTGTTCAATTTTTATAATATTATCCAAATCAAGAACTTTTGTTTCTACATGTTCCATTGTTCCATTTTGAAGCTTTTGTTTCCATCCCAATATATTTCATAACCATAAACTTTTTTTCAGTCTGATACTCTTGTTATCTTCACAGTCACATTGTACCTAATTAATTTGAGTTGATAAGTGAGAAGTTACATCAATGGGGCAAAGTTCTTCCCATGATTATATTTTCCATTCACATGAAATTTGTGTGACCACAAACTTTGAATCATATGCCTTTTCTTGTTCTGTTTTGAAATGATGCTTTATGACCAAACGCACCAACTATTTGGTTCCAACATTGTTATGATCAAAGATTCCTGATGCTTGTGATTTATTCTGTTTTTGTTTTTGGAGTAATTTGGTAAATTATGTTGTGCATGATTATCAGCTTCATTGCTAGGATTTCAATATTTGATGCTGTAACTCAATGGTGTAATTTGAATGGGTATTTCAGGGAAGAGACTGAGTCAGGTGAATTTGAAACAAGGGATTCTTACAGTGATTGTTTCAGCGACGATAGCGAGTGCGATAAGGCATTGAGGTGGGATGGAACTTCATCAGAAGAAGGAGGATTTGAGCAAGATTGTCTCTGGCATTTGAATAACCGATTGGGTCACCTCTATTTTCAGTATTTTGAAAGATCAACCCCATATGGAAGAGTTCCTCTAATGGATAAGGTTAGGCATTGTTTTGTTCTTGTTTGTCAAATCTTACTTACTTAGCCATATGAATAGTAATAGCATCTTTTAGAGGCGTATTTTAAACACCAATCTTTCATGTTAGGCATATATACATAAAGGATAAATTGTGAGACTTTTGATTTTTGACCTATCAATGTGAATTTAGAGATATGACTAAAATATGCCTCTCTTGCATAACAAGTAATGTAAAGAAGTATATAGATTCTATTGTTCTGACCAATTGTTTCCTAACTTTCAGATTACTGGGTTAGCAGAGAGATACCCAGGATTGATGTCATTAAAAAGTGTAGATCTTTCACCAGCAAGTTGGATGGCAGTAGCTTGGTAATTAAATTTCACTCTCTTCTTGTTGATCTATACCGAGTTTTTGAACATATTCTATTTTCATTCTCATGGTTAGTTTGATATAAGGCTTATATCAAATATACTTGATATAAGGCTTTCTAGTTAGTTTGAGCATTTATGATGATCAATTGATGAAAAATACCAACTGATGGTTACTGTTTTCAGGTACCCAATATATCATATCCCTATGGGAAGAACAATTAAAGACCTTTCTACATGCTTCCTCACTTATCACACACTTTCATCTTCATTCCAAGGTATTCCTTATCCATGTTTCACTCCTATAATTATGCACAACTACTTTGTCTTTTTCACTCTAAAGAAACTGTAATTTTTTTTATAATAAAGAATATGCACTGAATGGAACTTGTGGTCATATTTGTATAGATATGGAGCTTGATGATGATTATACTGATGGAGCCAACGTGAAGAGAAAGGAAGGAGAATGTATTTCCCTATCACCATTTGGTTTGGCTACATACAAGATGCAAGGGAATGTGTGGGTCTCAGGAAATTGTGGTAGGGACCATGAAAGGCTGGTATCACTATTGAGTGTAGCTGATTCATGGTTGAAGCAACTAAGGGTTCAACATCATGACTTTAATCACTTCATTGGCATTAGGCATGGCTGAAAGGACCAAGCCATGCTACTTTACAAGTTGACCACTAAAGTTTATCCTTTGTGGATATTTGCTTGCACTTTTTTCTTTTCTTCAGTATGAGGACCTAAAAGATTTGTCCTCTCGGAGTGTGTTAGGATCAATAATTATATTTTCACTTCAAATTTACACATATTTTATGATCATTGATTAAATAAAACAGCTTTTTCTTTGAAAAAAATAATGTATCATTATCAATGGTTATAAAGTAATTATGTGTGAAATTTGATAGTTAAAAAATTGAGATAATCATTTTGCTGTTAGGAGCAGCCCTTGTGAGATTCCAAAAAATGGATATAAGTGATGAAAATTGAGCCCTTGGTATGTAGAGAAAGGTAGATGAGGATGTGAGGGAGAGTGAGGTGTGAAACCAAATAAAGCTTTAATGTTGGATTACTGTATCACCACTTCTTATTGGCCATGATGGTTGATGGGTGGGATGAGAGATGTGAAATGTTATGTAAATACTGGTTGTTGCTTTTGGAAATAGATAAGCATGCCTTAGCACCAGGGACATCCACTATAACTGTTATGTTATGCACTCTTGTGATTAAAAAAAGTAATAATGCAACCTAAGGGGTAATGTATTCATGATAAGTTAATGAATTAAGGGTTACTTGCCATGCATAGTATATATCGAGTTTACTTTGGAGTGGACCCATTCTGACAGAATATAGCTCATGTAGCAAAAGAATATATAGCACATGAATTAGGTTAACCTTTGGAAAAATATACTTCCAATTATTTCCTTTGATGTTCTTGTATGTGTGTACCACAACTTAAAAATCTGAATGATCTCAATAGCCTAATTCCTATATCATTTTCTCAACCCACTTAGTTTCTTGTCAGCATATGAAATTTACCCTTTTCACCTAATAATCGAGATTATCATTTTTATTAATTTGTATCTATATTCGATGTTCCAATTCATACCTTTGCTCTTTTAATACTATAGTTGGGTGATTCAACTTGTTGCTTCTAGTCAACAATTTATCATTGAGAGGGGATTCACTTACTCAAAGAGTAAGTTTAAAACACTTACTCCAAGAGTAAGTTTAAAACACTTACTCCACATCATTGCCATCAATTCTTGGGAAATTCAATGGTTTGAATTAGTGAGTAGATCTAAATTATTAGATTTCCTAGAATTAACTAATGGTCAAGATGTGGAGTAAGTTTAACATAACCCTCATATTTTATCTGAACTTATCACCAATTATATAGTATCAAACTCATATCGACAGGTTTTGCAAGAAGTACAACATAATGACTTTCAAGGCTGACACCCATTTTAGTAATGCTCTCGGCCCAAGCTCCTTGATTATGGAATTCTGATTGGATCCCATACATTAATATTAGTATAATCGTACCTTAAAATAAATCTACAACATAGTAAAGATTGCTAATTCGGTCTCACTTTTTTATTTCATTATTTTTTACCCTCTTCTATAGTTATTTTGTTTTATTTCATAACATGCTATTAGCACAAAACTATATCTTACTAGATATGGATTAATCAGCTCAGTGAGAAGAGTGGAGATGCATGGCTTAATCTTGGGTAGTTGTAAAAGCCACGTACTACTAAAAGGAAGGATATAGAGAAAAGTGGAAACGTCTAAAGATAGTAAGTAATTACCAAAAAACCAACTAGCCATGCTGTGAAATGTATATATATATATATATATATACGTGTAGAGTTGCAAAACATTTACAAGTTGGAACTTCAAACGTACATGATGATTAGAAAAGTGGACAAATTGTTATTAGGCTTCTCTTCACCAAACACCACCATTATCACCAGCATTGGCAACCCCTGTAACAAAGCAGAGCTTTATTCAATCAAAAAGATTTACACAGTGCCTCACAGTAGCACCTTCACTAGTTTTCTTTTCTTAATATACTATAACACACGTGAAGCACTCTAAAAACTATATTACCTTACTTGTTTCTTTTTCTTACTTGCTTGCATGCTTTCATCATATTTAATGCCTATTTATACTAATTAAATGTCAATTAATGGAAGCTCCTACAAGCTTCTACTTTACCGGCAAACTTTATCCACGCACCTCTTTAAAACTAAACCAATTCTATAGCTTTCAATAAAATTTTCAACAATACCTTTTGGCACATCTTGAAACTTCATGAAATAATCATTGATGCTTCAACAACCCCATCAAAGTTCCTCCCATAGTTTTATTATCCATGAAACCTTTTGAATGATCATCAGCAGTTGATTTCTCTTCCTCAGCTGTTGTGAATAAGTTCTGAAAGACACTCATGTTCAATAATAAATGAACTATGCTTGTGCCTCGAATCATTGAATCAAACATGTTCACATTTCTAAAATAGAACAATCACAATCACTTGCTTACAATGTTCGCAAATAATTGAATCAAACAATGTTCAACAATAAATGAACTAGCCTTATACAAAACATTGTTTTCTTAATGGCATATTAACAAAAAAACACTTGCTCCATATGGCTCAAACACAAGTAGGAGAAGAAATAGAGACTACCAGGAGATGAACCTTCAAATTGAGTAAATGAAAAGAAAGATATATTCTGAAAAAAATTAAATTTCCTCTCTATAAACAAAGAGAATAAGCCACAAGAGTTAAAAGAGGAATGTCGGGAAGATATTCATCCAAGTAAGCAGAGCCCCATTTTTGAAATGAACTTAATGTATTCTACATGTATTTATTACAAAGTGCATCCTCAAAGCCAAACACAGAATGATAAAAATGAGAACCTTTACCTAATATTTTACCAAGAACAATGAGAACATTTGCCTAAATTTCCAACTACATGCTGTAACATTTTTTTAAGGAAAGGAATAATAGTTATTATTATTATTAGGATAAGACTGCATACATCTACCCTCCACAGACCTCAATGGATGGTGCGAGCCTCGTGCACTGGACCGCCCTTTTATTAGTATTATTATTAGCATAATCTCCATATATGAAAAGAGTAACAGACAACAACAATAACAAAATCGTCTTCCTTAATTCCAGCAAAGATATTACATCTCACTCTCCATAACCAAACTACAATACTGAAGAAATCATAGTGTAAACTATGATATCAATTTACCCAGTGGCTAAACAGTGAGTTAGAAAGAAGTCAGTGTGATAGGCCAGCCAGAATTCATATTATCTAGGCTCAAGCATACCATTCTGAATAAAGAACTAGAGTTGGCATTTGCTATGTTCATCAAGGGATGGAATATGGCGTCCACTTCACATTTACGGTCATATAGCTCAAGCATACCATCCAAGTTTACATAATCAATAAAGATCTCTTATTACAAACGCATTTAGAAACTCAAAAATACCACCTATAATTCATATAATAATAAGCAATTCAAAATGCAATTAAAATTTTGGGTCATCAAGGCATACATAACCCATATCACATGTTTTTCCAGCATGCCATACAACAACTGTATTTAGGGACATCATGGCCACAAACATACCATAACAATTATAAAGAAATACAAACATATCCACGCTATAGGCAACTAGGGACATCCGATTATTCCGATATCATATTAGATTCAGTTCTCAGTTTTCACAACCCAATTCAAAATCCAGGGTCTGTAACTTTGTATAGCCAATTAAACTTCAATTCACCAAGATTGAAAACAATGTATAAATCAGGATACACAGATGATACAAGCCACTTCGCTGGAAAATAAATTTCCAGCAACTACCCAAAAAAAATCGAACAACATCATATTATTCATGTAGAGAATTCATAATTCATACTGCAATTTCAGCTTGCAAGTATATGGGTCAGCCAAGCAAACTAGGGTCATATTCGCATTTGAGTTTATAGGCAACTAGGGTCAGGCATACCATCCATTTTCATAATATAATAATTGTATTTAGCACTGACACAGTCTTAACAATACCATTATTATAGATGAATAAAGAAGCATTTAGGGACATCAAGGCAAAATCCATATCATCTGCTTTCCCACCGTGAATATCATGATTCAGGGACATCATGGCCAAAGTATACCATCCCACTATACAATATGAATAAAAATTCATAATGCAATTGAATTAAAGAAACCGAAGGCTCAATTTTATTTTTCCAGCATCTTGATGTAACATTGTGAATAGAGAATTCATAATTCAAATTGCAACTTCGTAGAGAGCCAACAAATTGAGGTCTCATCCAGATTTACAAATTACACATAACTAGAATTCATATTGCAGGCACTGTACAGTTTTCGCAGCCGAAATCAAATGCTTGGGTTTGTAAAGCTAAGTAAAATCTCAGTTCATGGAGATCAAACATTCTCGAATAACCAAGATTGGGATGAGGAAAATCTAATTACCAACACAATTAAAAGAAACCGTTGCCATAACATACTTTTTGGGTTTTGCAACAATCTTTAGAAGCTCAAAAAATACATCATTTCCTGACATCAATTATAAAGAAATACAAAGATTGAAAATCAAGAGAGATATGTCATTGATAAAGGGTCGGTAAGGGCACAAGGAAATCAAATTTTAACTCTATATTGAACCAGTGTTTCAGGCATATTGCAACAATAATCAATTATTAAGAAATACAAAGATACTTTATAAATTTGATTTTTAGGGTTTTGGGATAATTTGTTAGTTCAATAAAGATACCACTTCCGATGAATGAATTATAAAGAACTTCAAAGAATGAAAAATTAGAGAGAAGAGAGACATATCACTAAAAAAGGGTCGGAAAGGGCATAAAGAAATCAAGTGAAGCAACATCATTAACTATACCAAAAACAGAAATTGCCGCATAAATGAAAGAGCTTTCCAACAACATCATAGTTTAAGGAATATCATTATCACCGTAGATTAGAGAAATTGCCTCAAGAAAATACTAGGGTTTTGGAAGCGATTCTGATTCCCAGCTTAAATTTATCGGAATGCGCACAAAGAAATGGAATTCTACATATTTCTACTCTACTCATGAATGAAATGAAGCAACATCACAACTAGGACAGATGAAAAAACACATTGATCTTTATAGAGAAAGAAGAGAGAGATGTGTCAGAGAAGCCACAAAGAAATCGAATTCTTTCTCTCTATATATCCGTTAGAGTTTGAATGGAACCATTACAACATAAAACAACATAATGCTCTTTACAAGATATAATTATGCATGAGAAAATATTAACTTCAGTCATTAAAAATTTATATACAAGAACTAGCTTCCATTATAGGAACTTCACTTCATTGGTTCTCATCACTCTTTAACTTATTGGCAATATCACAAACAAGATAAATAGAAGTACCCTTATCAAGAGTTGAAAAGATGAATGTAAAACTGGACAAACCATTAACAAGAATTTAAAACAACATATTTTAAGATTTCATTTTGATACATCACAACATTATTTGATTCATGTAACACCCCAACTAATGGGAAAATACTTGTGTTGTTAAATACTTCTTATAATCATGATCAGTGTCTTCACTATAAGTTGACAGAAAAAGCAGAAGGTACATTATGAAAGGTTAGAGTTTGTGTTACCCTAAGACTCAAAAACCACCAGGGAGAACAAAAGAGGTGAGCATAAATGTATGTATTTTTTATGGAAAATGCTCTTAAAGGTGTGACATATAATACAAACTCATTCAGAAGAGGCCATACACAGTTCAATGAGGATAAACATTGTAATGAATTTGTTGGTTATAGACAAGGGAGGAAGAGTAAAACTATTTGTACAGTAGATTATAAGCAGGGAGGTCTTGTATTGTGTTGATGTCTTCTAAGGATAGCTCTCTCTCGAGTTGCATTCGTGTCGCTTGTAGAACCTCCTGGAGCCATGGAATAGTTTGCATTGTCAATATGTCAAATAGCATTGCAAAAGTTGAAAACACAAAACAAGAGATTAGTGTGCTTCAGGTTGCATCACTAAATTGATTTCTGAAAAGGGAAGAAGAAAAGGAGCTTATGGAATACAAGTTCCTTTGCTAATAGGAAATATGTTCTGGTCATAAATGAGAAGTGGACATTAACAAGTTTCTTAGAAGACCAGTTATTATATTTTAAAAGGTGGCCTTAATATCAAAGCTGCATACTATTTCAAAACTCTATTCTAGTATGTTTTTCTCCATTTTTTGCATAGCTGTATGAGTTGGAAGCCAAGGTGGGAAAGTGGCAAGATGCATATAACAAAAAGAGAAAAATACATTGAAGTTCATGTAGGAAGCATTCATAGCTAGCCACTGTGCATCCATCATCTCGAAAGCTATACAGTATAGAATATTGAATGCTTCTTCATTTTCTGCAGTATTGTGAAAGGAAACTTTAAAGCACTTGAAGGCATAAAAACTAAAAAATCAACTGAATTGGTCCAATATGTATGAAAG